CAGGGTTTACATGGCACACTAAATTGAAACTAAATAAATTACATCAAGGTTGCCACGATGCATGAAGCCAGACAATGTGGGTTGTCATCCAACATTTACAGGTGAGTATGTTGAAGAAGCCCAGTAGATTTGGACAAATTCAATCAATCACAATAAAAGCAATGGTAGTAATATATGAAAATCTTCTTGGCATGAGGTGCCTTTGGTGCTTTTTGAGCTTGTTTTCTTGTAGGCATTTCATTACCCAAACTAGGTAACAACATCCCTCTGTTCTGGTAGGAATAATAGAATAGAATAATAGAATAACAGAGTCGGAAGGGACCTTGGAGGTCTTCAAGTCCAACCCCCTGCTTAGGCAGCAAACCCTATACCAGGGCTGTCAAACTCCCAGCCCACTGGCTGGATGCGTCACATGCAAGCCACGCCCAGTTTAGCAGAGGGGGGGGGAGTTCCAATGTCACATGATGCTATCATGACAACATGAGTTTGACACTCCTGCCCTATATCATTTCAGACAAATAGTTATCCACTCTCTTCTTAAAAACTTCCAGTATTGCAGCATTCACAACTTTTGGAGGCAAGTTGTTCCACTGATTAATTGTTCTAACTGTCAGGAAATTTCTCCTTAGTTTTAGCTTGCTTCTCTCCTTGATTAATTTCCACCCATTGCTTCTTGTCCTGCCTTTGGGTGCTTTGGAGAATAGCTTGACTCCTTCTTCTTTGGGGCAGCCCCTGAGATATCTGAACTAGGGAGGGAGTGGAGTTTGCTCTCAATTTATATTCAAGTCATTTGCCCTGTCAGTGTTGGGTGGGAGTGGTCTCAGTGGCTCTTTGGCTGTTTACTGTCAGCTTGTTTGGCAATTCCTTGATTGGGGTATTGTTTACTTCTTGATTGGTCTGATGTTAATGTTGGTGTTAATCTGTTCATCTGGATGTTGATTGCTGATATGGACACCTGCCTCCCCCTCCCTCCCTCCCCAGCAATCAACATGGAGATAAGCAGAGATTAACAGCATAAAACTTTTAGCTGGGAATCTAGAAGCCCAACCAGCAGAGACTCTGCTTTCATTCTCATATTTCTTTATAATGTTTCTTGATTGACTTTCAAGGCCACTATCTTTCCAAGGTGACTTACAATACTCCAATACACAATACCAACTCATAACTTGCAATAAACCAATCAAATACATTCTTACCAGAAAATACACATGAATGGATTCACTGGAAACCTGCTGGAGAAGTAACACAATCATTTTCATCACCAGCTTGGGGAAAATAATAAGTTTTTAAAATCTTTCCAAATCAATGATGTGCAGAGGTCTTAGGATATTTTGGAGAGGCCCTATTCCACAGTGTATCACTGGGAATGCCATCTCTTTTTCTCATGAACATTTCTATCTAAGAAGTGTCAATATTGAAAAGTATACTACCTTGGTTGGTTCTGGAGCTGTCTTTAATTCCATCGCAACTTCTCATAGGCAGTTAGGTGGCAGCACCCAGCTAAAACTCCACTATGTGGGATCAGATATCAGATTAGTATTTGAAAGGGAGACAGCCAGAAATCCCAAAACTGCAAACATCCTGAAAGGAGGCGACAACTCATTTCTATACTGTTGACAAGGACATCACATTGATGTTGAGTTTGACTCAAAGGAAACCATACCTTTACCTATCTTCCCTTGAAATTAAGCTCCACCTTGGCAGTTATCCTTCCCAACCTGCCTTCAGCTGCTCTTCTGCTTGCACCATTTCCACTCACAAATACCTCTGACTCAACTGGACCACAAGCGTAAGAACAGCTGCTGCCTTTGGTAGTGAAGACAGAAGGCAGAACCAAAGTCTATCCCTGAATGTTACACATTTAGGAAAAGAGAAATCCTCTTTAAATCCTCTCCAAACTCTTCAAAAGCATCTGACTGAAGCTAAATTAAAGGGAAACAAAAGTAACTTTTAGCACTATTGTTCTAAGTCAGTGTTTCTCAATATTGGCAACTTTTAAGATACATGGACTTCAATTCCCAGAATTCCTCAGTCAGCATAGGGAGTTGAAGTTCATGCATCTTAAAGTTGCTATGGTGGATAAACACAGTTCTAAACAGCCGCAGCACAGATGGAGGTTCAGAGTAACACCTGACTATAACGGAAAAGTATTTCATGCTAAGTTTCTAACCATAAAATTATACCAGCTGACTCCACGGGATGTTCTCTAGGTATTTGTGACTACAACTTCCAGAATTCCCTGATTGAAGGAATAATGCTGGAAGTCAGTGTCACTCTACATGGCAGATATAAAATACTGAGACATAAAGCAGAAGAATGGGAACACATTATATTGCCCCATAACATGGGTTCTTTGGTTCAGATTTGGAGCAACATATGATCCCAGCCACTGTGAGTTGTAAACCATAGATTTTGATGTAAGGCTATGGGAATCATGCCGCTACAGCTTGTTCAGTAAACTAGCTTACACTACAATGCATGAACCCAGCCTTACCGTCACTTGCTAAGTATAATAAAGATTCGTTAAACTTGTATGCCCCCCTCCCCAACTATATGATTCTATGAATATAAACTGGGGATTTGTGGTTCATAGCTCAGCCTTTTAACCAGCATGATACATTCACTTCTTGAATGAGACTGCTGGCCAGCCACTGATGAGACAAAACCCTGAGTAAGATGGAACTTTAACCTGATCTAGAAGGCCTTTACATATTCTTAGGAAGGACCAGGTCTTTTTATTGACAACAAATAAGTGGGATAAACTGAGTCAGCTTGTTCAATAAATAAAAACGCTATATGCATGTATAAGAAAGAGCTGCATTGTTTCATGTCTGGCTTTTCAGCTTCCCACTACAATCAAAGGCTGAGCAAAGTGGGCTTACCTTGCTCTGATCTACCATGGCTCTTCTTGCTCTCGGATACATCCTTATGGAAATCAAGTCCATCCACAGCCATTAACCAACAGGCTTTTAAATGGAAAAGGAGAGGACCACTTACCATGAAAGCTAAAGATGGATTCAGCCTCAAATGCTGAAGATTGTTTTTAAAAACCCATCCTGGATCATTGATGTAACAGAGAAAACGAACAAGAAGCCCTGTTGACTCAAACCAAGATAAGCCCATCTTGTTCCACATCCTGCTTCCCACCACGGACATACAAATGCCCTAATGAAAGTCCACAAAATGGACCACAAGGCAATCCTTATCTTCCACTATTTTATCCCCTCAGCAGCAAACTAGAGATTACTATCCTCTGAAAACTACAATGTAAAATGACACATATCAATGGCTGTGTTCACAGATAAAAGGGAAAAATAATATATGAAAAGCACTGAAACATCAAACAAGACGGTACTTAGGTAGCCATGTAATTCAAGCCCCTTTCTCAATACCTTCGGTGGAACTCAGAGCACTGCTTCCATAGCCCATGAGTTTCACCACTGCAGTGTTTCATTATTTACAGGTTCTTGGTAAATATGCTTCTGATTTCAACCTGCTTATCTCAATCCTGCTCTTTGGAATGACAATCCAAGTCTTTCATAATGTTTGATTTCCAAACCCTTCACTATCTTGATTACCTTTAATTCTAACTATGGCTCGCTTAAAAGATGGAATTCAAAACAAAACATATTATTCCACATGAAACACAGAAATAAAATGAAATTATTGACTATGATCCAATAAACTCACCTTAGCTAAAACAATTACACACTCCTTCATTTACCAATCCTTCTCATTTCCCGTCCTTCTCATCTGTTTTCCTATTTTTAAACAGTAATATTTTGGGGATAAAAGCCACTATACTGTACCTCCTCTTTGCAAAGTGACATGTACATTCCAGAGAAGTAATTGTGTTAGCCTTCTGCAGCCAACCAAGCATCTCATGCATCTTAAAATATCAAATTAAGTATATATGTTCATGATGAAGTAGGCAATACATACAATAACCAAGTTAAGCCTGAATGTACATGGATCACATAATATTTTAAGCTTTGTTTGGGTATTTTCCCACGTCATTATAGTTGTGCTTTTAAAGTTGTAGCAACCTTTCGGCACAATCTTATCTGCCATCATCAGGCTTCAGACTAACACAATACAGAAGCCTGATGATGGCAGATGAGATTCTGCCCAAACGTTGCTACAACTTTAAAAGCACAACTATAATGACGTGGGAAAATACCCGAACAAAGCTGAATACCATATATATATATCCATATACATACACATACATATACACATACATACATACATACATATATATACATAGGTTCTCTTAGTTGCCCCACCTTTGGTTATGCTCTAGGATTTTTTTTCCTTTTGATACTGATGGCTTTCTTAGCAGGAAGCAGGACGTGAGGGGATTTCTCTCCTGCAGCAGTCCTCGCAGCAATTTGGTTCTGAGGGATACCATTTTTATAAAATAAATGTCAACAGATGAGTCTCAGAGAATCCTAAATGAACCTGTCCACAATCCCCTCAACAGGGCAGGGGCAGCCCGATCCAAGAATCTGGAGGCCTACAAAGGCTCATCGCTCCTGTTCTGACAGTAAATCAAAAGTGAAACCAGTCTTCCCCAGCCTGGCCGCTGGATTCAAAGACCCATGACTCCCCACACGCGCTGGATTCAAAGACCTATGATTCCCACCGAGCAGCAGGAACAGGTGAGAGGAAGTGCAGACGGCTAGGGAAAAACCTGGAAAGGCACAGATGCCCACCCCCCCACTTTCAGTGGATCCTCCATGTATACGGCCAGTCTACCTTGGAGGTCTACCAAGTGGGGGAATTAAAGCGGAATGAAAATCAAAAGGATTAAATCAGCCTTCGGCGGCTTGACACTCTCCATCTATTTCAAAACTACAGTTCCCATCACTCTCAGCCACCAGGCTTACGGCCATGCTGGATGGGGACGGTGGGAACTGCAGTCCTCAGCTTATCAAGTTGAAGACGAATCAGCTCCGGTATTTACCATCACCACCGACCCTTCCCTTTTCCCTCCTCACCGGTAAGCGCGGCGCAATCTCGGCCGAGCAGCAGTGGCAAAAATACCGTCCCGGCTGCGGGGAAGCCTCCGCCATCTTGCTTCCTCCTTTTCCTCTTTCCTCCCCCCCGCCCTTAGAGGGAGGCAAGACCGCCACACGCTGCGTCAAATTACGTCAAGACGCTTGGTAAAGCAAATGTCCTACGGCGGCCGTGCAGGTTCAAGAACGGGGGCCATCTCTGAGCAAAGGAAGGGCGGGAAGTCAGAAATCACAGAGCTTTCCAGTCCTAGACCGCCACTTTCTGCCGGAAGAAGGCTGAGAGGAGGAGGACTGGGGAGGGTGGTGACCTACAGACCGAGGGCAAAGGGCGGGGTCTTGCTTTTAAAGCCACGTGACTTCTTTTTCAGCATCTATATTCTCACGACCTGCGGAGTTGAAACGCGTTAGGTAGCAGGCAGGTTGATGGTTTATGGTGCAATACGAGTCCAGCTTTTCTTCCTCTCTCGTCTTTTTACAAGCCCACCTGCATTGCAAGCTAGAGAAGGGAGTCTGCGGACTGATACAAAACTTGGTTAAGCTTTTCTCTCTTTTTCTATAGCCACCGAATAGTGTTTTGCACTCTTGATCTTTAATTGACTTGGTTTGACAGGAGGCGCAGATTTAATCGGCCTCCCAACTGAAGTGCAAGCCAGAAAAGTAGATTTGTATAAAAATCTTATGATTCTTGACGAATGTATCTTTTCTTTTATGTACACTGAGAGCATTTGCACCAAGACAAATTCCTTGTGTGTCCAATCACACTTGGCTAATAAAGAATTCTATTCTATTCTAAAAAAAATCGGTAAAGAATTGGCATTAGTTGAAACTGAATTTGTGGACATCAATTAAGCAATCACTAGGGGGCGCTTGCCTCCTACTGATGTATATTTCTATTCTGCATAAGTGAATACCATGTTTTCCACAATGTAACAATATTATCAGAGTAGCCATTCAAGCATAGATGTGCAAGTCGGTATTACCATATAACTTTTCTCCATGCATCTCAGGCTGCCTAGCTTTCATTTTATTTTTTTATTTATTTTATTTTATTTTTTATTTTATTTGGTTTGTCAATTGCTTACAAGATAATAGGTATAAGTATATACATAGTTATGAATACATGGATACATATAAGAAAAATAAAAGAAACAATAGGACAGGGACGGTAGGCACATTGGTGCACTTAAGCACACCCCCTACAGATCTCTTAGGAAAGGGGTGAGGTCAATAGTAGAAAGTCTAAGGTTAAAAGTTTTTGGGGTTTGGGAAAGAAACCACAGAGTCAGGTAGAGTATTCCAGACATTGACCACTCTGTTGCTGAAGTCGTATTTCCTGCAATCAAGTTTGGTGCGATTAACCTTGAGTTTGTATCTATTGTGTGCTCTTGTATTGTTATGGTTGAAGCTGAAGTATTCATTTACAGGTAGGACATTATGTATGATTTTATATACTATACTTAGATTGGACCGAAGGCAGCGTTGTTGTAGGTTTTCTAGGTCTAAAATTTCAAGTCTGGTGGCATAAGGTATTCTACAATGAGTAGAGGAGTGGAGAACTCTTCTTGTGAAATATTTCTGGACTTTCTCAACTGTGTTAATATCAGATACGTAATGTGGGTTCCAGACTGATGAGCTGTATTCAAGTATTGGTCTAGCAAATGTTTTGTATGCTCTAGTTAGTAGTGTAATATTACCAGAGAAAAAGCTATGTAAGATTAGGTTAACAACTCTTAATGCCTTTTGGGCTATGTAGTTACAGTGGGCTCTAGCACTTAGATCAATAGAGATGAGTACTCCAAGATCCTTGACAGAGTTTGGATCATAAACAAGGTCTTGACTATTCAGCCTGTATTTTATTTTCTGATTATTATTTTTTGCCAATATGTAGGACAGAGCATTTATTTGTTGAGATTTGAAGTTGCCATTTGTTTGACCATTCTGATACACAGTCAAGATCTTTTTGAAGGGTAGCAGTATTGTCTGTAGTGTTGAATAGCTTTACATCGTCAGTGAAGAGAATGCAGTTGCTCTCAATATGATCACAGAGGTCATTTATGTAGAGTATGAAGAGAGTTGGTCCTAGAACACTGCCTTGAGGGACACCACTGTTGACAGGTACAGAATTTGATAGGATGCTCCCAATTTTGACTATTTGTTGTCTGTTTGACAGGAATGCTTCTATCCAGTTATGCAGGTGTCCAGAGATACCATAAGATTTTAGTTTTTGTCGTGTACCACTGAATCAAAGCCTTTACAGAAGTCTATGTAGATTGTGTCTATTCCTTTGCCGTGATAGAGTAGTGTAGTTCATATGTTTTTGCAGTATAAGAGTTGCAGATTGCAGGATAGTTTTTTTTCTGAAACCAAATTGTTTATTAGAGAGTAGGTTGTTTGTCTCTAAGTGGAGGATAATGGATTGGTTAATAATTGATTCCATGACTTTACAGGTGATGCAGCATAAAGAGATTGGTCTGTAATTTTCAACTAGGCTGGGGTCTCCCTTTTTGAAGATGGGGATGACCGTGGCTTGTGACCATAGTTTTGGCAAGGAGCTGGTCCTGAAAGATTTTTCAAAGATTATGCTTAGAGGTTCGGCTATGGCAGTGGATAGCTTTTTTAAGAAGTAGGCACATATTCCATCCGGTCCAATAGATAGGGATGGTTTTAGATTGCGTAGTGCTTTTTCAACATTGTCTACTGTAAAATTGATATGTATTAAATCATTGTAGTTGTCTGTGCTTCGACTAGGAAATACTGGGCATGATCCATTGCTGTTTACAAATAGTGAGCCGAAGAATGTGTTAAAGATGTTGGCTTTAATGGTGTCGTTGTTGCAGTCTTTACCATTAGTTCCTTTCAGGGGTGGGATGGACCTTGAATCTTTTAGTTTGTTGTTTACAAAATTGTAGAAAGCGTGGGTGGAATTGATACGTAGAAGGTTTTCCTCTTGTTTAATGTGATAATTGGTGCATTCAGTCTTTATCTGGTGGCATAAATTTTTGCATCGGCTTTTGAAGTTCGCAACGTGACCAGATTTGTTTTTCCACCAAAGTGATCTCTTTTTGGATTGAAGTTTCCTTATTGTTATGGGTAATCTTTTTTTTCTGGTTTTTGTAGTTGTTATTGGTACATATAGTTTGATGACGCTTTTGACTTCAAGTAAAAATATGTTGTAATGGTCTTCAACAGTATTGCATCCAGTGAATAGAAATTGCCAATCAAGGGATGAGATATCGTTGTCTATAAGATCATAGTTGCCTTTTTTGAAGTTATAATTGGGTATCACATCGTTGTGTTGATTTTTGTGTGGACGTATGTTGAGACAAAAGTCAATCATGCTGTGGTCACTGTTGGAAAAGGGTTCTTTAATTTGTATTCTGTAAATTGAATTCAAACTATTGCAGAAGATGAGATCGAGGCAGTTGTTTAGTATTGTTGGTTACTAGTTGTTCCAGTCCCAGGTTTGTTACAGCATTGTAGAAGGTTGCATGTATAGGTTCAGTTTTACATTAGTTTAGGATCCAGTTAATGTGAGGTAGATTGAAGTCACCAAGAAAGATAAAAGTGTGTGGGCAGGCATGTTAGTAGTGAATTTAGCTTGTTTACATGTTCGATGTCATAATCAGGCTCTGTAACATAGTAAGAATCGAAATGTGATATTTAAGGACAGTTCACAGATGATAGCCTCAGGAAGAGCAAGCTCTTGGGTAACTTGGATGTTTTTTAGATGTAAGGACTTTTTATAGAAGACAGCAACACCACTTCCTCTACGGATTTCACGATCTGATCAGTAAACATGATAATCTCTTACTGTGGTAATGGAGTCAGGGAGAGATGCGTTGAGGCATGTTTCACAGACAAATATGATGTTGAATTTAGCCATATTTAGTAAGAGGAGAAATTCAGGTATTTTATTCACAAGGCTTCTTGCATTGAGTAGCTTGCATTTAAGGCCAGTTGTAGTTGGAATTGAGGTAGTTAGGGGCATGTGTGCCTAGTTTTGAGTGATGGTGGGTTGGATGAGGTAGGGTTGGATGTGGAGTTTGCCTGTTGTCTCATAAGGATAGATCTCAGTTTGTTTCTGCTTATACAAGTAATATGCGTGATCACCATTGGAATCACAATTTCGTTGCTAGTGGAGGCAGTTAAATGAGTTGATCCTGATTTTACGACTTTTGCCAGTTAAAATAAATCACTGCAGCTGTTAAGTGATTCATGCTGTCTTTAAATAGATTCGGCTTTCCCCATTGACTTTGTCAGAAGCTGCCTGGGAAGGTCGCAGATGGTAATTGCATACCCCCAGGATGCTGAAACTGGCATGCTGGTTGCAAAGTGCCAAAATTTTGATCATGTGATTATGGGGATGCACTTATTGGTCACTTTTTTCAATGCTGTTGTAACTTCAGTTGGTAAACAAATGGCTGTATGTCACTTGACTTACCTTTTTTTTATTTCAAAGGATGGTATTCTTTTGGGACATTAAAGATGCCACCAGGTAGAGCAGATGATGACTAGCCAAGTATGATTTCAATTTTATGGCATGGTTTGTTGTGCAGTTAGTCTGTTGTGGTTTCATCAGCAAACTATGGCCCAACACAGTGCCTACCACCCAGCCAATACTGACAAGTCCTTTGCATCTGATGATTTCGCTGACTTCACTATCTGTTTCTAAATTACCTTAATATACTGTATTTAACACAAAGTCTGTAAAGATTCTCAGTCATTCCAGGTCAGGGGTCTCCAACCTTGGGCAACTTTAAGACTTGTGGATTTCAACTCCTAGAGTTTAGTCCACAAGTCTTAAAGTTGTCCAAGATTGGAGACCCCTGATCCAGGTCATGGTTGTCCCAAAGGTGCTTTTTCAGGAGGCAACTGGACTGTTTTTTTCTCTTTGAAGACTCTTCCTTCTCATCCAAGAAGCTTTTAAAGTCTGACAGGAAGGTGGGAATGGAAGGATTTATATTCCTTGCAGACAGCTGGTCATTTGCATCTTTTTAGAGGGTCCTTGAAGCACTTGGATGTTTATCTGTGTCCTGGGGTCACCTGAGTAGTGCTCTTGGTTCCTGTAGTCTGCAATTTTTTTAAAAA